ATTATTATTATTATTATTATTATTATTATTATTATTATTATTATTATTATTATTATTAATCTTTCATTAGCCTCTTATTCATCATCATTGGCATCATTATGAGCCTTAGTTCATTAGCAATATTATTCTTATGAGTATTACTATTGATATTATTTCAAAATTCCATTATAAACAACATTGCTAACATTAGTTTTTTATTCATTATTATTGGTATAATTATGAGCCTTGGTTCATTAGCAATATTATTCTTATAAGTGTTACTATTGATATTATTTCCCATTTATCAATAATATTTTATAGCTATCATTATTCATTATTATTGCTCAATATATAATCATTAGTATTATCATTACTATGAGCACATATTTTTTTATTACTTTCAGCATTAATATATGTATTGCTAAATCAATTAAAAATAATCATTGTTATCAATATTATTTTTCATGCATCACTCTTATCATTATAATTAGTATCATTATCATTATTTTCGTTCTTATTATGGGCGACAATGAGACGCAGGGCTTAGTTAATGGCATTGCCAAGCCGATGCTATTTCCATTATTATAATTGTTATTATTTTCATTGCTATTATCATTATTTTTGCGTATATGCTTAACAATTAATTTCAAGCGCGCCTTGTGGCCCAAATGACAACAGCAACAACCACAACAACAACAACAACGGCAACAACATCAACATCGGTTCTAACTGATTTAATTTTTGTTGGCAAAAGCACTCAAAGGAGTGTTTATAAAACACACACCAATACACACAGACAAAAACAGACACACACATACACACACACACACATACATACACACACCAGTAAACACAGACAGCCCATAGTAATTCGTAACCCGTTTATAAGCTATGCAAATTGCTTTTGTTTCGGCCCAAGCAATTATGTAAAGTTTGTCAAGCGTGACCAGCTACGTGATGGCGGGCTGAGAGACTAGGGGGACGCGTAACGTGGGGTGCGGGGCGTGGGGCGTGGCTCCAGGCGAGCGTAGTGCCCAAAAACTGCAGCGAAAGTAAAATAGAAGCCAAAAATAAAATTTATTTTGTCTTATTTTTGTTTTCAACTTTTCGGCAAGCTGAGCTAAACAATTCCCCGATCCAACACAAATAGCAACTGATTTAATGATATCTATATATAGCTGTCTGTCTTTTGTGAGGCGAGATCTCTGAAATCCCTTCAATTATCAATGATAGATGAAGGTAGATAAGAATTCAACTAATTTGAAATGTAATTGAAATGAAAAGCAGAGTTCTTCCACCACAGCAATTATTTCTCTTTGCCTTTGCTCAAAAAATATGCCAGATTGATGACACTTAGCATAATTATAAGGCATCAGCAGCTGCTTAAATTAACAATCGAGTCAGCTAGTATTAAAGAGTAGTTAAGAAAAAAAAACTCGGGAATATCTTCAAACACTTTTGTCTCTCTGTCATTTCGTTTCCCATTGCTCCTGCTCGGTCACCCTTGACACTCTTTTGACCAAATCTGAACAATGTATATACGCTTCATGTATATTGTGCGACACAAAATGCTAAACAAAACGACCCGCAATGAAATTTCATTAAGTCGTAAATGCTTCAACTATTCAAATGAAGTGCAAACTCAAGAGTGCAAAAGTCACGGGAAATGTGATCCCATCAAAAGTTGCAGCAAACCTTTTGTGCATAATTAGTGCCCGACGTTGCAGCACTTCAAAGTGCCACAAAATTAGCACAAAATGGCAATAGAGTGCGTGGCAGACAACCACTGTGCACAGTGGGTGAAATATAGAAGAGGTGTATCAACACAAAATAGCAATAAAAATGCGCAGCAATTACCACTGTGCACAGTAGGCGAAATAATAAAAAAAAGTCTGTTACAATAAAATGGAAATAGAATGCATTGCAACAGCTACTGTGCACAGTGGGCGAAATATTGAAAAAGTCCTTTATCATAAAATGGCAACAACCACTGTGCACAGTGGGCGAAATATAGAAAAGGTGTATGAACACAAATTGACAGTAAATGTGCAGCAATTACTACTGTGCACAGTGGGCGAAAAATAGTGAGGAAGTGTATTAGCATAAAATGGCAATAACACACATATATAATATATATGTATATATATTGCATGTAAAATTATTATATACGTATAAAAAAATATAATTGAATTTATGGCATAAATTGAAAAACATTTTGTGAATGTTATTTTAAACTAAAAAATTATTACAATTATTTTGTATTATTTTTATTAAATTAATATGAGTTTATTTTATATATTCTTATATTCAAATTTTGTAAACTATTATTATTAAAGTATTATGAGTTTATCTTATATTTTAAAATCATTAATTTTTTTATATTATTTATTATTAAATTTTCCGCTAATATTTACAAGAATTCACTTAAATTCAATTTAATAAACAAGCAAACAATATTGTCTGCACAGCTTTACTGCAATTATATATTAAATAATCGAATTGAAATCCGTAAAAGTTTCTATAGCTGAAATATGAAAAAAAAAGTTAAACTACTAAACATTTGCTGGATTTGTAAAACTTTTGCCTTCAACTTGAGTGGAACAAAAAAATCACTTTCCAGTGGCTAAGCTCAACAAAATTTTTGCTGTTGGCTCGAAGTTTGTGGCGAAAGGGCCTGTAGATATGCAATGGCTATTGGTGCATTGTACACGCTATATATATGTACATATAGATGTATATATTACGTCCCCATGCTCACCTGCCTCGGCCACTTGTATAACTTTTTCGTACAGTTTTTATCATCTGACGCCAACTTTTGCCGCAGTCGCAGTTTATTGCCGTTCCTTGCATATCGTTTCATTTGACAACAGACGCACACACACACACAAACAAATCTATATATGCATTTGCCCGTTTGTATGTGCCATGTAAATACCCTGTAAGCATATCAATTTGAGCTTGGCATACCTTTAATGATCATCGTTTTGAGCCAAATGGAATTCTGTATTAGTTTATGCAAATCGACGGCCAAGAGCCAGCTGCGCTGTCTGTTATTCGCCCTGTGGCCAGCTTAAATCATAAACTCAATTTAAAGTACACACTAAAAGAGAGGGGGAGAGAGAGAGAGGGCAAAAGACTGAAGGAGAGAGAGAGAGACTCAAGTCAAATGCTGCACAATGTGCGTTAAATGAATTTATTCATTTGTTTTTATTTCCATTGAATTTCTTAACTTTAAGTAGTTATAAAGAATTATATTGCTAGTGCATGTCAAGAGCTTAAGAGGATGGCAATATAAAAATAAAATATATAAAAAATATTTTTTTTAAATATATGTATAAATTTCATAGCTCGCAAATAAGTCTTGATCGTCTCTCGATGTCTGCAAATGTCCTTCACTCACACTTTGAGTGAGAGCGAGAGTGAGAGTGAGAGTGAGAGAGAAAGAGAGTGTAATAGAGAGAGAGAGAGAGATTAAGAGCAAGTGAATGATTTTTTCAGTTGATCGCGCAAGCTACGTTATGCAAATATATATTACAGTCAAGTCTCGATAATTTGTACGCCGCTAAATCGAAAATCGCGATAAATCGAACAAAAAGTTCTATCCTCTTGCAAAAATTCTCGTTGTAAAGTGAAAGAAAACGGATCCCCTAGCCATTTCGAATTATCGGAGCTCCATTATATATGAATTCGAACACTAACATAGAACATAGAACTATGGTCAGTGATGCGCATCAGTTACATATATAAATGTGAATATAGGCAATATGCTCAACACGCTCAACAACTAACAAAGGTCTCAGTGCCAACTTTATCTAGATGAACTCGAAAACTAATAAAGTGTCATACATGTGCCTAACTTACATATATATAAATATACATACATACAAACGTATAACTAAATCTCTGAGTGCCTCTCGAAATTTGCCTAAGCTCTGTCTGTGAGGCTGTTGCTGTTGTTAAGCAGCAGAAATAAATCACTCTCAGCTGTCAAATTAAATACAAAATAATTTAAAATTACTTTTCAAATCGTGCGACAATTTGAACCCTTTTCTGTTCGCTTTTGGTTTTGTTGTTGTTGTTGGTGCTGCTGTCGCCGTTGTTGCCTTTCTTTGGACAGCTCTTTGAAAATTTCAATTTTAATTTATTTGCAGTTTGGTGTTGCGTGTTGTTTAGCTGAAGGAGCAACAGCAGCTGAGTTTGGTCCACTTGGCGTATACTTGATATTTCATTATGCGTCCCATTTTCTTCCTCTACTTTTTTTTTCAGCTGCCGCGTGCCTTTTTTCTTACCACACACACACACACACACATAGGGAAAGTGTGTGTGTGTCTCAGTCAGTTTATTGTCAATTTCAATAGTCGAGACAATGAGAGTGTGCCCCATCTTCTTCTTCTTCTGTTTCTGCTTCATCTTATTCTTTTGCTTTTGGGTGTATTGACTTTAACCGAGTTCTAATATAATAAAAATGCAAATTGCTCAACGCCAGCAGCGGAAAACTGTCGCGTTTTTTTTCCTCTTCTTCTTTTTTTGTATTTCATTACAGCTTTTTTTTTCTCTCTCTCTCTCTCTTTTTGGGTTTTGGGTTTAGGTTAGGGTTTTGGGCTTTTGGCTATCCCTCTCTGGCCACCTTTGGCGGCTAACATTGTCGTCTTTGTTTAACGAAGTGAACTTAACTTTAGTCTTTTACTATATGTATTTAGGCC